CAGCACATCGCCCACAAGATGTAACGAACCAGTTACAAGGACCTGCACACACACACACACACACACAGAGTCCCTGAGCCATCTTACATTGCTAACTATTCATTATCAGAAAAACTGAAAATCCGAATTGAACAGTCAGTCAAGAAACAGAGGTTTGTGTTATACCTGGAAACGTGTAGCTGAGCTACTCTCATGTACAGTATCCCTTAGCCATTTTATTGCCATGGGTAGTGAAGTAAACACCTCACTGTTTCCATTACTTTCACCATCTTTTTTTCCTTCTGCGTGACCAACAAAGAAGACTTAAGTTGAGATATTGATAGCGACGACGTGAGTTTATTTTGTTCCATGATCAGAAAGTTTTAAGACTACTGAATTTTTGTTACTACCTCTTTCACTCTGGACAAGGCTTTCCCACACTTTCTGGAGTGTGAACTGCCATGACAAGTCAACCTGTGGATCATTCTCTGGCAAATCAGCTGCTGTACCAACCTTGTGATACACCGACATGTTTGGAACAAACAATGCCTTCTTGAAATGGACACCTACATCAACCATTATTCAGCTTTCTCTAACTATCTGTTTTAACTCAGGCCAAGTTTTCTGTTTCTACATTTCGTCTTTTGAAGTTACAAAGACACAAGGGCTCACGAACTTACCATACTTTGCGCACGTATTCCTTAGATGTGGAAGCAGCAGATTGGGGTCCCGAACTGACATACAATTGAACAACAATATCTGCAAAGCAGCCAGATGCTCTCGTTCAGATATTTAAAAAGCTTGGAGAATCTAGAGAAAGACAGGTATAGAGATAAGAAGATACTCTTAACCCAATCCTTTTCCTATGAATTCATTCAGTCTCTCATATGATTTATAAATCGAAGACAGACCAAGAAACCCGGACCTTTACCTGTTGACAGGTTTCATTTGACCATTTATCATGAGAGGATCCTGCGGAGCCATTAACCAAATGTCCAGAACTCCCTGACTGGTTGTCTCCCTTAACGGCAACCGAAAACCATTTGGCGCATGCTTCCATGCTTTCTGGACTATGAGCTCCATCCAGGTAAAATACTAGATCTCCCGAAGTCCGAGATTCAGTATATTGATCGGGGACGACCTGTGCTCGTCCTTGCAAACTCGCTGTAGCTAACCCTTTGATGAATTGCTCAGGCAGAATACTCTAATTCGAAGAAAAAAGTGGAAAAAGGATGAAATTCACAAATGAGAGAAGGGCCAAGATACAAACTGTGGGAAAAAATAAAGACGGAAAATAGCAGTTTACCATCTGAGTCCGACTCGGAACTTCAAGTTTACCAATTTGCTGAAGCCAGGTAGAGGCAAGCGAAACTGCTAGACCAGCATTGAGATATTGGTGCTCCCCATCAAGCCCAAGTTTCTGACCACTTAACAGCCTTGCGGTTAGTGGTTGCACCACTTGGAGATTCACCTGTCAATATGATGTTAAAGCTTCTCAAAAACACCTACCATTACTTTCATAATCTGTCAATAGAATGTTAAATCATCTCTGCAAAAGCACCCACAGATATTTAAAAAAAAGCTAGAATGGGACTATAACTAATGCACCTATTTGTGGACACATTGATTTCTCAATTTCTACAGTAAAAGAATGGTACATCTAAAACACTACAATCAACCAAGCAGCACATAAACAGAAACTATATATATATATATGTACATACATTGTCTAACAAATTGAATGACCATAGTGTTCACTTATTAAAATTGAGCGTACTTCTGATTCGGAAGCTTTCTCTTCAAGGACACGCATGGCTTCATCAGGTTGAGGCACTGTGAAAGCTGGAACTCCAAGCTGAAATATGAACAAGGAAGATGAGGCAACTATGGAGAATATCAAGGAAAAGTCAGTTCTAGTTTTAGATATATAAGAGTTATATAGTCACCTTGAAAATTCCAGCCTTCTCACCAGCAATTTTTCCAAGAGTATCACCTGTGATACATCCCACAGAGAAGAAAGAAATCATGATATACTATCAGAGCAAAGGAAATGTAAGTCAAAATATGTCTGCTCATTTAACGCAAGCATAGACCTCATGATTTAAAGTTTTAATATGATAAAAGTTTTCATAGCAGTATAGGTATGGCATGCATGAGAAGATTCCAGTTACAAACCTAGAATTTCCATGTGGTCATATCCGAGTGAAGAAATACCACAGACCACAGGTTTCTGAACCTGTAACAACAAGTCAGCAGTAAATCCCCATGGAAACTTAAATAGGCACAAGAAAAGTTACTTATACCCTTAACTAATCATTTGGGTTCTGATCATATCTAGCGTTTTCATAAAACTATTACACGAGCAAAGAAAAAACTGGAGACGATTAGATTTCAGGTTTCCTCTTTCTTCATAAACCCCAACCTTGGAGTTTGGTAGGTATGTTCTATTTGGAGACACAAGCATTTCAGCTGAGAAAAAAGGTCAAACTTACCGCATTGGTGGCATCAAACTTCCCACCTAATCCTACCTCCAATATAGCAGCATCTACCTGCATAAAAAAGCAAAGAGCAGCACCCCTTATATCAATAAAGAGAACAAGACGTTTCTTTATCTATCAAGGTAAAGACTGTTATCAAACCTCTTCTGCAGCAAATATTTTAAAAGCAAGCAATGCAAGGAAGCGGAAATATGTAGGCATTGGTATCTCCTCGTTTGTTCTCTCCTGCAAATCAAATAGTCAGCAAAATTTGTATTTTGAGTAAAAAACTAAAGCTCCCATCTCAATTTACAACTATGCCCACCATTATAAGTTCTTATGAGTTCATATCATGAGATTCTCAGACCACAACACAAAAGGTGATTTCAACCAGATACAGGGCGGGACACTATACATGTGCACTACAACATCACTACCCCCTTGAGGAAAATAGTTCCAATAAAGATTTATGTTGACGGCCTATTAAGTCAGGTGGAAGACTTAGTTCAGCAGTAAATCAATTATACAATTTCTCTATATATCACAACTTCAGCACAGAACACCTCGGTTTTCAGCTAACATGGAAAGACAAAAAAATGTGTTCATGACAAAAGGGTGCTCTACTTGTTCATCACATTCTATATGGCTTTCATCACTAAGATTCGAACTACTAGTCATTCGAGAAACCCAAGACTACAGATATTGAGTTCAAAACAAATGGTTCAATAACTAATCTTCTTTTTTAAAGAACATACCTTGAGCCTGTTATAGCACCACCAGAAATAGCCCAAGAATTTCTCCTCACTTATGTCCACACTGCAGCAAGAAATAGAAGATATCAGATTAAGCGAATATAAGAAATTCTTAGTAAAGAAGAGTGAAAAATAGGATTATGCTAGCGAAGTATTGTTGGTTCCTGATTCTATGAGGGCCAATAACTATATAATATATTTTCTCAGAATTTTCAAGAAACTTGGAAAAACTTACCCATCCAAGCGAAATCTTTCCCGGACATCAATGAGGTGAGGTGAAGTGAAGAGTCCAGTTCGAAAGCCATAGTTTCGAATAATAGACTCTGTAAAGGTACATGTGGATCCCTTGAGGCCACATAAGAAACAAAAAAGAAAAATGTTAGGTGCTGGATCAGATAGTAATCAGCCATGCAAACAATGAATCACTTTCATTAATCAAATTCACTGCTAGTTTCATAACATTTTCCTTTGTGCTATCACGATCTAGAAAGAAGAAGTGATAAGAGACATCAACTATGAACCAAGATTTATAAAGTGACAAGTTTGCAAAAGTGAGACTCCATCAAATGAAACCATATGCATCTCCAGGCATGTAAGGATCTCAAACCAATGTCCTTCTCGCACATATGTACAAGCAGAAACGTATCTCTCAAATCCCCACAGAGCAAAAACCTTAGGCTTCTGGCAAAGCAGTCATAAGGACGTAACGGTCACAATAAGATAGTGGAGTAACTAAACTAACAAAACCAACTCCTGATACTAATAAAAGATGATTTAGTATCATTTATTGAGCTTTACCAGAAAAAAGTAGTACCTTGCCTTTGGTTCCAGCGACATGAATAACTTTCATCTTTAAAATGTCTTCTTCCAGGTCAAGCAGCTGCAAAATTGAAAACAAGAAGGTGCCATAAATAATCAAAACAGAGGTGCAATATATAATCAAAACTTTAAGAGAATCCAATGGCAAGAGAAACCTGGAGATAATCAAAGACTAACTCGAACCGATCCCCTTTGTTGCTCTTATCAGCACGACTACGTTTCGTGATCAAAGACGACAACGCAGCCAAAGCTTCCTCATACGAATCACCACCTGTAACCAAAAAACAAACAAGTGAACTCGATTCGATTACTGTTAGCATCAAGTGAGGACGAGCTAGAGAAGAATAAGAGAATCAATAACAAACCTTGAGCTGCCATGTCGATCTGCTTTCTTAACGAACGAATCTGAAAGACGAAAAGTGAGAATATCAAATATGCCGAAACTCCGAGATTCTCGGAATACGAGAGAGAAAGAGAGAAAAGGAAACCTGGAAAGAGAGAGATGTTAGGTGAGGCTGCTGGTGTTGGTAGTGATGGTGGAGCCGAAGTGTTTTGAGAGGAATCGAGAGGTGGCAGAGAAACGCAGAGCTCAAACGGCACGATGTGGTTCGTGGTACTAACGAAACTGCATACATTCTCTTGTCTCTAACATTGCTACACTTCTTTTGCTTTTTGTTTAGTCTTTTTCGGCAAATTGGTTGACGAAAGCAGAGCATCACTATTATACACAAACACTGACACATTATCAAAAAGTCTGGGTGGTGTAGTCGGTTATCACGCTAGTCTCACACACTAGAGGTCCCCGGTTCGAACCCGGGCTCAGACATATTTTTCTTCTTTTTTTTTTGGGAATTTTTTTCCTTCGCACGTGGGGGACTCTCTCGCACACGTGTGTACTAATCTCCATTACTTAGACAAAAGCAAAACTTGAGCGGAGAACCAAAAACAATCACGAATCGTAATCAAACTCATCGGAGCTTGTTGAATTCGTCTTTGAAGAGGAAGAGAGGAGGTGAGGGAGATATGGATTGGGACAACGTAGCTGCTGAGGATGTGATTGAGGCGTTGAGAGAAGTTGAATGGTCGACGCCTCCTCGTTCGTTTGGCGAGTTCTTCTCTAGATTCGCATTCCCTCGCTCTTTCTCTAAATGGAAGAGCCGCCTCAAATGCAATCTCTACTAGTATTACCTCTCTCTCTTTCTCAATTTTTTTCTGCATCGATAGAATTTATGATTTTGATGATCTTATGTTGATTTTTGCTTGTTTTATGTTGCAGCTATAGGACGAATTACTTTATCTTGGTGATTTTCGTTCTGGGTAAGTGATAAGTTTGGAGAAGTTTATTGCTTTTAGCTGTATTTTTGGGAATTTGGGTTTTGATCAAGATCTTGTGCAGTTTATTAATCCATGTTTTTGTTAAATCAGGTCTTGCGCTTGTTACAAGACCATTGGCTATTCTGGGAACTGCTCTAACAGCCTTAAGCATAGCTTTCCTTAACGACAGGTATTATCTCCAGTGACTTCTCTTGGTTTCTACTTTTATATCTCTGCTCTGCAATGCGTTTAAGGCTTCATGGTTATGTGAAGTTGATGTAGTTTCGCATGAACTGGAAGCTATTTGGCTACTTTGTATACAGTGGTTGCTCTTCAACTAGATTCTTAGTATTGGATTCGATAGGTTTTTATGATCTGTGGTTTTTGAAATCTGAGTGTTTCATGTGTATTCATGGTGCTTGTTCCATTTGTATTCACATGCATTGGAAGATTTTAGGTTCCTTTATATATAATGATTGCTCTAGAAATGGATATCGGTATTGGAATTGATAGGTTGTATGATTTTGGTTCTCCAAGTCTTTAAGTTTCTCAAGGTGGCTTGCTCCATTCCATCTGTGGTGATTTGATTGTTCATGTTAGAATCTGACATCGATTTTAGTTGCTTTTTGCTTAGATTGGACCAGCAAGTATTGTAGTATGTGGTTGTGAGTGTGTGTGTGCTCCCTTGCATAATCTATTAGTTGTTCAACTTAACAGGGTTAAATGTTGTCTTTTGCAGTTTTGCAGCTAGTTTTAATGAGAAGTTCATAAGGACGATTAGGCATTTCTCCCCACACTTGGCTGCAAAAATGAGACCTCCCCACATGTGAGTTCCTTTTTAACTTAATTCCATGGAAGATATAAAGAGGGTTCGTAGTTACATTTATATAATATGTGATCACTTGCAGGCCTGTCATCCGTGGAAGATCTGCAGCAAGAAAGACTGTATATGTTTGTGGGAAACCGCGATGGGTATTCGTTATTACTTTCCTAACAGGTACTTGAATACTCATAATCCCTCGTTATGTAGTCAATCTAACATGGTGTTAAAACTAATCAATGTGTTAATTTTCTCATGTATATAGCCAGTATTGTCATGTGGTTTTCTTCCTGCGGTTTGTTGTGGGTCCTCTATGCACTCCTTACTTCCCTTGCTGGTAAGTTATTCCACCTGTTTGATCGTAGGTGTCCTTTGATGGAGTTTATGTTTTGACCCTAGATTTTCTCTCCACAGTGATCATTGTTCATGCAAGCATGAGAACCCCAAATCTCAAGGCACGCTTGAACACATTCCGTGAAGAATTTCGGGCGGTCTGGCGTAACTATAGTGAACTTTAAGTCACAGGTCGCTACACAATCTAGAAGCAAACAAAACAGCCATCATGTTGTCAACTGTCAAGTTAGGGGATGCTTTCCATCAACCATGTTCGCAGTTTATTCTTATCTTCTAGTAATATTCTAGCAATATAGGCCATTAGTGAACATCCCTTCTTTTGTGCGATGATGGCTGATGCACTCCAGTTACATGGTTAATATAGTTATTGGCAGTTCGATTGCAGACAGAATAGATTCACTTGAAATAGTGGACATACTTGACCAAGTTACTTCTAATTGGTGTAGTGATGTTGTTTATACTTTTCTCATTGTGTTAGTGATTTGACTTCCCAATACTCTTTTTTTATATATATAAATAGATCCAAACAGAACTGAATGGTGTTTCAAGTACAAAATTTGGAAGACAGAGCATCGGAAAATAAAAGTGTTTTCTTTTTCTCACGACTTGACAAAGTTCTTGAGAGTTTTCAACCACAGTAAGTGCTCTCTACTATCCTTGTTGATCATGTACTCGTGCAAGAAGTTGATCATGCTCGGCTTTATCCCTCTTATCTCAATGTACCTATGGAATGCCTTCCTTAGCTTTTCATCCAAAACCCTGCAGAAAGAAACCATCAAAGATCATGACTTTGGTTCAAAACATCAAAAGCTTTAAACTTTTTCGTCTATTACCTGAAGGAAGGGCCTTCATAAGCAAGCTCATCTTTAGATGGATCATCAGGAAATGTAACCCACATGTCCTTGATCGCAATCCTGTCTGGAAAAGCAGTACATCTAAATTCCAAACTGGGTCCTGTCTTCTTGGAAAGAGTTACCAATAGAGGCACATTCGATTGCTTAGGCTTCTCTGGCTTATCCTCATCTTCATCTTCTTCATTCTCTGCCTCCTCCTCATCATCTTCATCATCTTCTTTGTCACCTGTCACAAGATTGGTCATGTGTACTTCAACTTTAACAGTCTCTCCTTCATATTCTCTAGTCAATGTCACGATCTTCCCTCCAGGTTTGTCTTCCATATTGAAAGGAAAACCACTTGGAGTTTCTTCAACCTTTATTCACACACAAAAAAAAAAGAAACAGAGAGATTACATACCAGTGCCATTGAAACAGAGCTTCACTAAACCCATAAGATCTTAACAGGAAACAAAAATTGTAGAAATAAAAACATGAAAATGTAAGAAAAGGGGAAGCTAAGGGTTTACTCGATCGTAATCATCAGCTTTCTCGGCGTATCCAATCTCCGTTTCGATAATTCGAAGAAGCGGATCGGTTGGAGAAGCTCTCTTTTTGGTCGATGTGGTAAATGAAACATTCTGGTCAACCGACGGCGTCAGATGTCGCCTCCGGCCATAAGCGGACTGGTCCAACAATGAGTAAACGAAAGAACGGTTCTTGCAATAATTTCCGACAAACCGAGAAGCTGCGCGACGTACAAGAGTCGCCATTTTTGTGTGTTGGGAGCTCAAATTGGAAGAGTGAGGGTTTTTATTTTCCTTTAGGGTTTAATAGAACAAATTACAAATTTAGCGGGACTTAAAATAAAAATCAGAGAAGATCAGGACCGTGCTAAAAATACGGGCCGGTATTGGGTCGATTGGCCCATTAAGACATCTGTGAAAAAACTGAAGAAGAGACCGTTTCATAATCTGAAACCCTAGTTTGCTTCTTCTTCAGTTGTTGCCTTTTAAACTGAACCAACGAACACAGTAAGCGGCATATGTAAATCTGAGAGATAAAAAATGGCGATTGATCCGATGCAAAAATCAAACAAGCTTCGATGGGGAGAAATAGACGAAGAAGAAGGCGACTTTGATTTCCTTCTTCCGCCTAAGCAAATGATTGGGCCGGACCAGAACGGTGTAAAGAAAGTGATTGAGTACAAGTTCAACGACGATGGCAAAAAGGTCAAAATCATTACCACGACCCGTGTTCAGAAGCGAGCTCTGACCAAACAAGCCGTGGAGCGGCGGAGCTGGAATAAGTTCGGAGACGCAGCCAATGAGGAAGCCGGTAGCTACCTCACAATGCGTTCAACAGAGGATATCATCTTGGAACGAATTAGAGCTCCTGGTAAATCTTCATCTTTGCATTTTGGTTTGTTAGGATTCGTTGTGATTAGGCTCTGTTTTGATTATGGTGGCTAATTAGCCAGTCACATGTTAGCCTTATGGCTACTGTTTGTGTGAATGGTCAGTAAGCACACCTATAGCAATGTCGTTGGTGATTCGTTTCAACACTAAAACAGGATTCAACCCAGTTTTGGTTATGGATCATCAACTATATCTTTGGTTTCAAGTTTTTTTGTAAATGTGTAGCATAACAAAGGTGCCCAATTAGCCGATCACATATTAGCCATATGGCTGCTACTTTCTGTGATTGGTCAGTATGTCACCAATAGCACTATCTTGTTGGTAGCCTTTTCTGAATGTGAGCAAATTTTGTGTTCTCCTTTCTTGGCTGTTAACTGTACACATAAAGTTTTCATTTTTACATAAGTCTCTCTATAGGTGGACACGTTAGTCAACCACATTATTCTATATGTGGGTGGCCGTAATGCCCACCCAGATGTTTTGTTAGTGGCTTCTTGCACGAAAGTAGATTTCTGCTTTCACTTCCTAGCTACTAACTACATTTTTGAGTCTAAAGTTTTTGATGGAGAAGTATCTTGCTCTACCATCTTAAGTGTACTTTTATTTTGAGGTTTTAAGATCTTTATTTGGATATCTCAGGTAGCAACGCTGAACAGTCGACGGTATCAGGAGATAGCATGTCTCAGTTAGGCAAACCAGGTGCGGTCCTCATGGTCTGCAGGTTATGCCACAAGAAAGGTGACCACTGGACATCAAGATGCCCACAGAAGGATCTCTTATCCTTAATGGACGAGCCTTTAACAGCAGAAACTTCTACAACGAGCATAGCTGGAACTGGAACTGGCAAGGCTGCTTATGTCCCGCCAAGTATGAGAGATGGTGCAGACAGAAAAGTTGCTGGTTCAGACATGAGGAGTAGAAATGATGAGAACTCTGTCCGTGTGACTAATTTGTCTGAAGATACCCGTGGACCGGATTTGATGGAGTTGTTTCGTCCGTTTGGTGCTGTAAACCGTTGTCATGTAGCCATTGACCAGAAGACGAGCATGAGCAGAGGATTTGGATTCGTCAATTTTGTGAGCAGGGAAGATGCACAGCGAGCAATCAACACATTGAATGGCTATGGTTATGATAACCTTATTCTTAGGGTTGAATGGGCCACTCCTAAACCCAATTAGATCTTTTTTTTCATTCTCTAATGATAATATTCTCTGTAAGATGTTGAATGCATAGCGGTTCTTTGTTATAAATTCTCGAGATAAATAGTAATTCATGTTGGTCTGTGAGTTTGATTTACACTTTGCCTATACGATGCGTCTAATTGCTAACTGGCACTCTCGTACGCATGGTCCTACTAAATGCATTTCTGTTGAATACGTGCAAAAAGTAATAAATCTCTCTTTTAATAAGGTAAGCATGTTAAATCATCTTAGACCTGATTTATAAGGGCCAAGTTTCATTTTCCATGACCATTTTACCAATAATCAAGTGAATATTAGAGATGGGAAACAAGGATTCGAAAGGCTCTTCTTCTACAATCAATCCGAAAGAGGAGATTGCTGCTGCCCCTCAGCCTCAACAGCAACCTCAGTCACCGCAATTGATCCGAAAATCGCAACCACAGCAGCCATTACCACCACCCTCATCTGAGATGCCTCTTCTCTATCCGTGTTACACAAAAGAAGACTACGAGAAAATGAGCGAAGAGAAAATCGATATGCTCTTAGCGACTTACGGAATCATGACAGTCCCTGGTGATTTGGCTAACAAGAGAAACTTTGCTTTTGAAACCTTTCGTTGGGATCATAAGAACAATCACCCCAAAGCTTAACAACTACTTGTATAGTATAATGAAACTAACGTTTTATGATTGGATCTAAACACATTCATAATTCTTTCATCAATTCACAAGAAAATATAAATCAAAATGCTACTAGTTGTACAACATTGAATATTATAATCACTTTAGCATCTCTTGAACAAGTTACACTTGTCTCAGTAACAGGATTCAAAATTACAAAGGAGGCAGAGCACAATGTTAGTTAGATAACCAGAAGCAATGGTTGCAGATAAAACAAATCCTAACAAAGAACATTCCTTGCTTTTTTGTAATAGATATAGATAATAAAGAGAGTAGTATCAGCATAACTTCTTCTACAAATGTGGAGTCTAAGCAAAAGTGTCAAAAAAGGAAACAACAGAAGAGTAAAAAGAAAAAGGAAACTTTTTTTTTTTTTTTTTTTTTTTTTTTTTAGAAAAAGGAAACTTGAATCACAAACATAGGCGAAAAAAGGAAATTACACAGACTTGAAGAAAAAAAGGAAATTACAGAGAGACTTGAAAAAAAGGAAATTACACAGAAGATGAGTCTATAAATATAGAGTCTCTTCTCTGCGTCTATTCGTTTTAGTATCAATCATCACAAACCAGAGAAAGACAAGAGTTATAGAGTGAAAAGATTGCAATTACATGCTCTGTTTTTTTAGCATTCTCTTCTTCGGTTCATGTTTCCTTTGCTTCTTCTATTTCATATTTGGCTCCAACGTTTGATTTGTTGTTTCTCTTCGCCAATAAGAAACGAGCGTGATGGAAGATGAGCTCTTCGTTTACAATCACTGAAGCGAGATCATAGATGTTTGTGTTTGTGCGATTTCTCTTCTCCGCGGTCGGTTCTTCGTGACTCGTATAGGCTGGTCATGTGGTTTCTAAGAAACTCTACGACGAATACTGAGGAGGTGGGTGCTACATCGTCGTCGGAGATGACCGGAGAGAGGCAAGATTGACGCGGTGGATGGATCGGGATACGTATGCCGGTGACTGTGATTGTAAATTAGAGATCTACATATGTGCAAAGCCCAAAACAACATTCCAGCCCATAAAACAAGGTCAATTTCAGCCCATCTCTTTTTTTTTTTCTCTTTTAGTTTAGAAAATTAATACTTTTATACGCTTAAAATTCTAATTGCAAGTTTATAGATTTTAGTAAAATAATTCTAACGGATTTTAAAAGTTTTTTTTTACAATTTTCCATTTCTTTTCTTTCTTTTTATTTTTAATTTTAAAACTAGTTTTTTAGCTTTTAAATTGTTATAATTCTAAATTATAGAATTTTGGATGATAAATTTACAAGACGATGTGAAACTAACCGGATTTTGGATCCCGTCATTGATCGTTAGCGATTCCACAAATTCAAATTGTTTTTGCATCGTTATGTAGATTTAGTATACAAGTTTCTAATTTTTTAGAAATATTTCAATTTTTTCCATGGATTTTAAAAGGTTTTTTTCCAATTTTCATTCCATTTTTTTGTTTTAAAACTGATGTTTTTTAGCTTTAAATTTTTTCAATTTTAAATAATAGAAATTTGGATGATATATTTACAAAACGATGTGAAACTAACCGGATTTTGGATCCCGTCATTGATCGTTAGCGATTCCACAAATTCAACTTGTTTTTGCATCGTTATGTAGATTTAGCATACAAGTTTCTAATTTTTTAAAAAAGATTTTCAATTTATTTTTTTGTTTTAAAACTGATTTTCTTTAGCTTTTAATATTTAAACTTTTAAAATAATAGATATTTGGATAGTAAAGTTACAAAATGATGTGAAACTAACCGGATTTTTTTATCCCGTCATTGATCATTAGTGATTTCACAAATTCAACTTATTTTCGCATCTTTATATAGTGATTCCACAAATTCAAATTTACAAAACTGTTCTCACATCTCTGCCTAACATTATGCTTTTGCTCATGATTATATGTAATATTTTTTCATTTGTAAACTTTTCTATATGTATTATTGTATTGCATAATTTAACATTATGGAAATTTAGAGGCGTTCTAAATGTTTCAATTAAAAATTTTAGTGATATAAATATATTTTTATCATATTTTTATCCAAATTATCAAATTAATTTCTTTTCAATGCATTTATGATTTGTCTTTTATTAAAATGTTATTGAAAAACTGATAAGACAGAACAAAAAAGGCAAATTGACAAAAAAATAAAAGGAAAATTTAAGAAAACCATATGCAAAATATAAGAAAATAAAAATTAAAAATGATAAAGGATAAAAGTCATATGTTCAAATTTGAAAATTCAAAACAACAATAGATGAAATTTTTGGTTCAAATTTGGAGGTACTTTCAAAAGTAAAACATATATTAGATGTTTTTCAAAAATATCGTTGTGTACATAAATTTTCAATAATATCACTTTTTACGGTTTATAAGATAGTTATAAAACTTTTATAATTTTATGTAGAAGTTTTATCATTATTATAGGAGTGAGCACTAGTTGAAATCAAAATTTTGTGATGCTTAATTGCTAGTTATAAAACTTTTATAATTTTATGTAGAAGTTTTCACGTTTTTGAAAAATAAATTTACAGTATAAACACGGGTTTGTTATATATTATCTATTTTTCTTAAATTGATTTATATGGTATCTTGAAATCATTAATTTTCTTATTGATATATTATTTACAAAAACAATCAGAAAATAATTGGACCTATTAACTCTTTTACAAAAACTTTTTAGATTTCATGTTGTCTTTATAAACATTTGATTTTTACAATTATTTGGACCTACATACACTATGGTGGACAGTATCAGTAACATGATTCAAAGGTACAAAGGAGACAGAGCACAATGTTAGTTAGATGACGAGAAGCAATAACTGCTAAATACATCAAATCGCGCCATATCGTAGAATTTGTTATGAATTTTATTAAACCGGGATTAGATTCGGACCCAACATATGTTGATGTCAGCAAAGATTAGTTTGAAAATAGCTTTCGTTTTTCCGACTGGTATAGATATCGTAGACGTAGCAGCCTACGTTTATCCTCTTGGATGATGTCTCTCTTGGAACAATTCCCGGAGGTCGGTGCAGCCTCAAAGTCACCTTTTAATGATACATCTCAAATAATACATTTGATCTATTTCATAATTGCTTATCTTAGATTTGGTCCCAACTACGCGTGTTACTTCTTCTTGCGTTTTCTTTAAACCTCAGGATACTTCAATGCTACGGATTGGCACAAATGTACTCTACAATTGCATCAAATTTCAGGGTTAGTTGTCTAGTTTTTTTATGCCCTCTTTCTATCAATATTTCAGCAGTTGGTCTTTCTTTATGCTGATTGTGTGTGATCTGTTCTTGTTGTGGTTACGTTCACAGGACGTAACAGACACAATGTTCAGCTTCAGCTTCTCCAGCGGTTCCTGATCGAGGAGAGAATGTGTTGCGGCAAGTCAAGATGTTAATCACCATCAACTTACCGAGGGTTCGTACAATACGAACGGTTAGACAATTTCAGATAATACATATTGTGAATGGGAAAAAAAATAAGTTGAAAAGATGGAGAAAATTTCTTATACAATCTATTTGTAAATTAAAACAAAACTTATCCATTTAATCGATAGTAAAAAAAAAAAAAAAAATCTTCTTCACTACCAGTCTGAGGATTCCCGGGAAAATAAAGAAACTTGCACTGCTAACACGTAATGCTTCTGAGAATTCGAAGCTAATGAAGCTCTTCGTCAGTAGTAATCTGCTCAGAAACTCTATTTTCTTCAAGATCTCCGCCTTTGTTTTGATCTCCGTTGCTTGTTTCTTCCTCGGTAAACATTGGTCTGAGGATGGCTTCCGTCGTCTCATCTTCTTCTCCGCCGAGCCTTCTCGATCCCCCATTGTCGCACTCTCACCTGATTTCGGAAAAACGTATAACATCTCTGATTTGATCTATGAGAGTCACCCGATTTTGCCTCCGTCTTTGTCACCACCGCCGCCGCCAGATTCTGTTGAGCTGAAGGTGTTTGGGATCGTTAATGAGAATGGAACAATGTCTGATGAGTTCCAGATTGGTGATTACGACGCTGAATCGGCGGAGACGTTGGGGAATCAGACGGAATTCGAGAGTAGCGACGGTGGCAACGAATCCACCACGGCTAGAGTTAGTGTGAGGAAATTCGGGATGTGTTCGGAGAATATGACGGAGTACATTCCTTGTTTGGATTATGTAGAAGCCATCAAAAGGCTTAATTCGACGGCGCGTGGAGAGAGATTTGAGCGGAATTGTCCTAAAGAAGGAATGGGGTTGAATTGCACCGTTCCTGTTCCCAATGGGTACCGTCCTCCGATTCCGTGGCCGAAAAGCCGTGATGAGGTATTTGTGAAGCTCTCTGTTCTGATTTTGTTTTTGGTTGATTTTGTATTGTCAAAGGAAAGTTCTGATTTTGATTTACAGGTGTGGTTCAACAATGTTCCACATACTAAACTTGTTGAAGATAAAGGTGGTCAAAACTGGATTTACAAAGAGAATGACAAATTCAAGTTTCCTGGTGGTGGTACTCAGTTTATACACGGGGCTGATCAGTACTTGGATCAGATCTCTCAGGTTATTTGATTTTTATGTCCCAGTGTGAGAATTATTTGCATCACTGGAATCTGAAGTTACTGTGTTTTTTTGGTTGTATGTGTAGATGATTCCTGATATCAGCTTTGGTAATCATACACGAGTTGTTCTTGACATTGGATGTGGTGTGGCAAGTTTTGGTGCCTACTTAATGTCACGAAATGTCTTGACTATGTCTATAGCTCCAAAAGATGTTCACGAGAACCAGATACAATTTGCTCTTGAGCGTGGTGTTCCTGCAATGGTGGCAGCATTCACAACACGGAGATTGTTGTACCCAAGCCAAGCTTTTGATTTGGTTCATTGTTCAAGATGTAGAATCAACTGGACTCGTGATGGTATGCAAATTTTTTATGCCACCGTTTTACTTATTACAATGTTACACCATAAATCTTATTCCAATTCGGTTGCACAAACTTGTTACCCGTTCCTTCCACCATGTTCAGCTCTTTTAGTTTATTAACAAAGTTAGAGCTACAACTGTGCTCTGATAGCTGCTGTGTCATTTAACATCAAACGTTTAAGTAAAAAAGGTGAAACTGAACACCAGGTTTTACTAAGCTGACAGATTCTCCTGTATTGTCATTGTTTTTGATATGAAGATGGGATCCTGCTCCTTGAAGTTAATAGGATGCTTCGTGCCGGAGGATATTTTGTTTGGGCAGCACAACCTGTATATAAGCATGAAAAGGCCTTGGAAGAACAGTGGGAAGGTATCATCCATGCAGCTTAATGTTTCATTTCTGCGTTGATGAAGTATCAGTTTTGGTCATATAAGCATGAGAAAGCTCTAAAAGCTATTGCTGAATTAAAAAAAATATTCCACATCCTTGGTTCCGTTTGCCTATCAGAAGGCATTTAGAGCAAGTTTCTTTTGGTCTGCAAGGATATATATAGTCTATTTTTTGATACCATGATTGTATGGGATTTAGTAAGATGAATTTTTTTCGTTTTTCCAGAGATGCTAAACCTTACCACTAGGCTATGCTGGGTTCTTGTAAAGAAGGAAGGATATATAGCTATCTGGCAGAAGCCTGTAAATAACACATGTTATCTTAGTCGTGGTGCTGGAGTCACTCCTCCTTTGTGCAATTCTGAAGATGACCCAGATAATGTTTGGTATGTTTGCGCTACCTTAAATTTTCCACTTCTTTTAGCTGCCAAATTAAAAATTAACATCGAGAAACTGCTTTGGTTCCCAATCTTGACATTGACTGTTCGACTTATTGGTGCGCCTTGCTTCTATTCCTTAGGCTAAGAGTTGTTTGATTCAGCAACTTCTTGTATCCTAGGGCTTTGTCACCTCTGAACGATGCTGTGATTATGTTAGGTACATGGATCTGAAGGCATGCATTACTAGAATTGAAGAAAATGGATATGGAGCAAATCTTGCTCCTTGGCCAGCTCGTTTACAGACCCCACCGGATAGGCTGCAGACAATACAAATTGATTCTTACATAGCCCGAAAAGAGCTCTTTGTAGCTGAATCAAAGTACTGGAAAGAAATAATATCAAACTATGTAAATGCCCTTCACTGGAAGCAGATAGGACTCAGAAATGTCTTGGACATGAGAGCTGGATTTGGCGGGTACTTTTTCTCACCGCTATGCTCTCTCATTAGACACAACCAAAATGGCTACTTCATATATTCTTGAATTTCTAACTTCCTATTTTTGGTAGATTTGCAGCTGCATTAGCTGAGCTAAAGGTTGATTGCTGGGTTCTCAACGTTATCCCAGTCAGTGGTCCCAACACATTACCCGTTATATATGACCGTGGACTACTAGGAGTAATGCATGATTGGTATGAAGACTTCTTACTCCAAAAATACAACCATATCAAACTAATAGGACCGTTATTCCTATAAGACACAATAACATTGTATAAATTGGCACTGCTTAAGACATCAATAATTTTCTTTCAGGTGTGAGCCATTCGATACTTACCCCAGAAGCTACGATTTGCTGCATGCCGCGGGTCTATTTTCCATTGAAAGAAAAAGGTAACAACAGCCATTTTGTTTTGCAAATTAAATAAACTCTTCAAGCCTTTTTTCCATTTGAAAGTATTGTAAACTTTGTTTTGGGTGGTGGCCTTGTTCAGGTGCAACATGACAACGATGATGCTAGAGATGGACCGGATTTTGAGACCTGGAGGACGTGTATACATACGGGATACTATCAATGTAATGAGTGAGCTTCAAGAGATTGGAAACGCAATGAGGTGGCACACGAGCTTACGTGAAACTGCTGAAGGACCTCACGCAAGTTACAGGGTTCTCTTCTGTGAGAAGCGGTTAGAATTGTCTGAGAAGCGTCGTACCAAGAAGAAGAGGAAGACTAAAGGAAAAAGAGCTTGACATGTCCATAAAAGACAAACAATTTTCTTTGATAATGGTTAGTTCAGTTTGGAGGCTTTTGGAATTTTAGAAAAGTTAGGGACTCTAAAACTAACTCTGAACTGTTTGTGAGGATTTGGCGTTTAACCCTCTTTCGCGTTGATTGAAACCGGCTTAAACTCACTATTACTAAACCCAAATATTTCACCTGTTGTTTACATAATCTACAAAGAGTCGACAAGACAATACTGGTTGATCCATGATCTAAATAACCTTGGTTATGGTTCTCCCAAACTCATACAGTGTCCATGGAGCTGCGCTTGGGGAGAAGGAACTTTGGGTTGCCATATGAGGTAGCTGAGGATGTGAAAAGGTAAGTAGAACCTAATCTTGACTCCGGAAAAAGCTCTTCTTCTTCAAGGTACGTTTGATTTTTACTCTTTTTGCTGTCTAAATTTCCCGTTGGGATGTTGAGAAACCATGGAAACTGCCCAGATTATGCTGATTCCGTTAGAGAAATATGTTGATTTCGGTTCGGTTTACATGGTTTTGAAATTATAATTGATTTCTGTTCGGTTTAAATTGGTTTTGAGAAGAAAACAAAAAACTTTAGTAAGTCACGCGATGAAAATTTTGGAAGAAGTGCGTCGATTTGAAATAGGCATGATTTCGAAAGGTAAACCCCTTTAGAAATCGCTCTCACTCGCGCAACGCGCACTTGGTGCGAGTGGTTGCGAAATAGAGCCTTCTGATTGGCTGAAAAACTCTAAAAAAAGTGAAATAGTATACATGTTGCTAGCTCCTCTTTTATGTTGTTATTTATTTTTCTTCTTCCTTCTCTCATTTTCAAGCAAAAAACACGAATAGATTCATGCTTTCAGATTTCGACTTGTGAGTCCTAAAATCTGCATGATTAAGTGGATTTTTTTCAAAGAATGTGTTTTAAATTCTGTTCTTATCGAATCTATTGTTCTGGATGTGAATTTTTTGGTGTTTTGTTTTTGTTCTGTTCTGTTCTGTATTTGACTTTGTTGCCGAGAAATTTTACTAAAACTAGTAAAGCTAAGCTCGTTTGTCATGTTTAATTTGGAGCATTAAATTGTTCTTCTTCCTCCATTAGATGTAGATTTTTTATAATTTGAAACCATGGAAGTAGAAATCTTCAGGAATCTTCTTGGCTTGATTCTGAGTTTTTGGAATGTGAAAGTTTAATACTTTCCTACACTTCTTGCAAATAGAATGTTCAAAGATTACTGTGATTTGGATCCTTTTCTACACTTGTTAGTTTGTGATTTTGAATTATCTGAAATTCAACACTCCTAGTTAACTTTACTAAACCTTTTGATTGCCAAAGTATATGCTTCAAAGTATAATCTAATGATAATATGAATGTCAATCTGTGGCAGAAAATACCATCTCAAGAAAAGAAAAATTCAGAAACTTAACGAGCTGGTCCGAGATCTAAGGAGGCAGTTGCTACAATGCAGAAATGACAATCAGGTTGAGTTGACGGAGCTAGAAACTGAGCTTGATCAGCTGCTGTTAAATGGTGTTTAGTCCAAATTACAGGTACATTGTTTTCCCCTAGTACATCTTTCTGTGTAGTGATGCATGATTGAAAGCATTCATCGACTTAACAGTTACGATTGATGAATACCTCGAAGCTCGAAAGAAGAATATGGAAGAGAAGCTCTTAGCAGCTTTGATTTCAAAGAAGTTGCAGCTTCGCTTTCTGATCCCATCGTACCAACATTGACTCAACACCAGTCTAGTGGGTTTTCACCACATGATTTGTTGGCTGAATTGTTTGACAGAATTAAAACCTTACCCAAAGCTGAAGTCACCAATATATTCTTCAGAGCTATTGCAGTTGCCTTGCTGAGAGGTAACATAAGGAAAGATAAATTGGAGAGAACTAGTGATACTGGAAAAGCAACTATCAAAAGAGTTGCTGCAACTCTAGGGATTGAAATCAGAGACAAGTGTCAAAAAAAGCTTGTTCTAACAAACAAAACTGTGACTTTCTCAAGAATGATAGCTCTTCTCCCTCACTTGGCAAGCCAGCTAATTATCTCTAAGGAGAGCCTTTTTGTCAAAAAGTTTGCTCCTTTCATTAATGCCATTAGTTTCCTGCTCAAACTCATAAGCTTCCTATTGCTATGCTTCACTCTGGATTTGCTGGTCTGATTCCGAGAGAAAGTGATAATATAGAAATGATAGACCATGTGTCACTCTGCTTTTATGGATGACTTCTCTCTTTTAATTACTCCTCAAGAACATAGAAGTTTTCATGCATTGTACGAGAATCAGAAAAGATATAATGAGGCTGCCCTCCTCTCCTATGTTATTTATTGATAAAGGTTTGTACTTGCTTCCTTTTTTCAGCCACCGGAAGTTTGAATTTGGTTTCTGATGGGATCTAAACAAGTATCAAAGTCTAGAATTGCTGGATTTAGCAAGTGAAGACTGCTATGTCACAGTCCCAGTTCGTTTTCGTCCACTCAGGTGAATGGCGATTCCGCTGTGTAGGATTCAAACACTTTGTTTAATGTTTTATCTGTGGATTGTTGACATTGGTTTATGCTTGACAGGAGATTGCATGGTATGCAGATGGGGAAACAATTGTGAGGAATGAGCATAATCAATCAATAGCTTATGCATATGGTTAGTTTGAACAGTTTGACTAGTGTTCATTGGTTTCTGTACCAATCATAAATGTTGTTATGTGGAATACACTGAAGTTTCCTGCATCCTGAATCAAGACCTAAATTAAACTAGATGTCAAAGTCCAATCTGCCATATTGTTTCATGAAATTTCTATCCTTTCTTGCAGATCGTGTTTTCGGGCCTACGACGACTACACGCTATATCTATTATGTTACTGCTCAGCATGTCGTTCATGGTGCTATTGCGGGGATCAATGGTATGGACTATGGACTAAACACCTTATATTGACCGATCTAGTTAAGACATTATTCTTAGAAGATAAAAGATATTCATATCATCAAAGCTTACCCCAAGCTACAATACCATGAACAGTTTGCATGAGCATTCATTTAGAAAATGAGATCTTTGAGATGCCAAACTGTATCTAGTGCTTCTTCTAGTCTTGAGAACACCTTGAGTTAGATTTCTTTGGCCAATTTGATTTTAATGAAGTGAGTGTTAATCCAACCACAGGGACCATTTTCACTAATCATGATATTTCTTGCTTTTCATCTTATTATAATAAAACGTATTAGGTTACTACCTTGTACAATGTACTTCAATGTGTTATCCCAGACATGCTTCTATATCAGAGAGTCATTTATCTCTTCCTTCGTTTCTGGCTAATCTTGTAGTAGCCATAACGATTAAGCAATGGAACTCGATGTTTTGATCCTAAGATGTTTTTTTGTGTTGGATATTTGGCTATTCTCGTTCTAGCTAGTGTTGTGCTGTTGACCTTATAAAGCCTTTTCTTTGACTCTAGTTAGCATATAGCTGCATTCTTTAGGTTAGTTCTCTGCTTTACACACTTTTCAACCTAGTAGAACTTTTCTCTTATGGACGCCCATGATCAGTACATGGTCCTGCCCTAATGCCGGATGATACACACTTCATTTCAGGGACCATGTTTACGTTTGAAGATGTGCATGAAATAGAACAATTTTATCTCATGCAGACAGTTTTGTTTGGTTCAAATGTCAGAGGGACCAAAGATCTCCTGGTATAATACCATTAGCCGTGAAAGATACTTTCAGCATTATACAAGAGGTACTTCTTAGGTTGTTGATTAGTCGAATTCCCTGGCCTAAGTGCTAGCTATTTTTCCTGCAGACACCAAAGGCGAGAATTTCTCCTACGTGTTTCCTACTTTGAAATTTATAATGAGGTGCTTTTCTTCTCTCCTTTCACTATATCCTGTTCACCAGTGGTGCAAATGATAGTCAGATTCTGCTTTTGATATATCTTAAAATCCATAAGGTTCATTTTACTTGAGGTTGTCAATGATTTATTGAACCCAGCAGGACAAAATTTGAGGATCAGAGAAGATGAGCAGGTACTTGTTTCAGTATTTGATCCTCTTATTTACTTTCTGTTGGTGAGATGCATAGTTCTTATTTCACTGTCTCTTATATATATGTTGTTACTATAGTGCTTATCATAGCATCCTAGTCCCTTGCACACCATATTTGTTTAATAAGAAGTGACATCTTTTCTCGTACTTTCATTTTCTTATAAATGAAATTCTCTGGGCAATGTGAAAAGTGGCCTGATTATCAATATTTGAATGTTCTAGGTTACATTTCTTATTCAAGTACACTAAAATTGATCCTGTTGAGTGTTGACTACTTGTATCGCTTTGCCCTCTACAATTCTGCAATGAATCTCTCATTATTGCCGATTTTAGGGAAACTTTATTGAAGGGATTAAAGAAGAAGTTGGTATATCCCCTGCTCATGCGCTTTCTCTTATAGCAGCTGGAGAAGGTAGGCACTTCCATGTAAATTTTCTTTGTCAGAAAGTGTTTTCCTTTACCAGTTGGGGTTTTCCTTTGATGTGATATGAGATAGCAATTCTAAAGACTAGCATTCTCTTTCTTGATTCCAGTAGTTTCATTTCATTCTTAATCTTTCTCTTGAATGGGTATAGCTTCAGGGTAAAAAGTTTCTTGGCTTGATTCTGAGATTTTGGAGTTTGAAAGTTTAATCATTTCCTACAGTTTTTTGTAATGTTCAAAGATTACTGTGATTTTGGATATTTTTCTATCAATCAGTTCATAGTTTGTGGTTTTGAGTTATGGTGTTTCCTCTTTTTGAAATTTTCTGTCCAGAAATTGCTGATTCCGTAAAAGAAATATGTTGATTTCGGTTCGGTTTACATGGTTTTGAAATTATAATTGATTTCTGTTCGGTTTAAATTGGTTTTGAGAAGAAAACAAAAAACATTAATAAGTCACGCGATGGAGATTTTGGAAGGAAGTGCGTTGATTGAAAAAGGCATGATTCCTAAAGGGGTACACCCACAGAATTGCTCACACTCGCGCAACGCGCACTTTGTGCGAGTGGGTGTGAAATAGAGCCTTCTGATTGGCTTAAAAACTCTAAAAAAAGTGAAATAGTATACATGTTGCTAGCTCCTCTTTTATGTTATTATAATTTTTTCGTCTTCTTCTCTCAGTCTGAGGCAAAAACACGAAGAGCTCACTACATCTGTATAAACCTTAATTATTGCTTATCGTCTTTTTTTCTCTTATCGAATCTGTAGTGCTGGTCTGCATTTCTGGTGTTTTTTGTCCTGTTCTGATTTGGTATCGAGAAGCTCTCTGTTCTGATTTTGTTTTTGGTTGATTTGATATTGTCAAAGGAAAGTTTCTGATTTTTTGTTTACAGGTGTGGTTCCACATAGTCGACTTGTTGAAGACAAAGGTGGTCAAAATTGGATTTACAAAGAAAATGACAAATACAAGTATCCTGGTGGTGGTACTCAGTTTATTCACGGAGCTGATCAGTACTTGGATCAGATCTCTCAGGTTAGTATGTTTTTAAGACTCAATGTTAAAAATATTTGCATCTGTATTCACGTGAATCTGATGTTACTGTAATTTTATATGTACATTAGATGATTCCTGATATCAGCTTTGGTAATCATACACGACTTGTTCTTGACATTAGATGCGGTGTTGCAAGTTTTGGTGCCTACTTAATGTCTTGACTATCTCCATAGCTCCAAAAGATGTTCATCAGAACCAGATACAGTTTGCTCTTGAGCTTGGTGTTCCTGTAATGGTGGCCAAGCCAAGCTTTTGATTTGGTACTTTGTTCAAGATGTCTAATCAACTGGACTCGTGATGGTATGCAAAACTCTTATGCCACCGTTGTTTACTTATTACAAAGTTACAGACATAAATCTTATTCCAATTTGGTTGCACAAACTTGTTACCCATTCCTTCCACCATGTTTAGTTATTATTGCTCTTTTGATTTATACACAAAGTTATCAATCTGTGCCCCCCTAGAGCTAAGACTGTGCTCTGCTAGCTGATGTGTCATTTAATATCAAACTCTCAAGTAAAAATGTGAAACTGAACATCAAGTATTTCTAAGCTTTTACTGACAGATTCTCCTCTATTGTCATTGTTTTTCATTTGAAGATGGGATCCTGCTCCTTGAAGTTAATAGGATGCTTCATGCCGGAGGGTATTTTGTTTGGGCAGCACACGCACAACCTGTATATTTTCATGAAAAGGCCTTGGAAGAACAGTGGGAAGGTATCATACTATCATCCATGCTGCTTAATATCTCATTTCTGCGTTCAGGAAGTGTCACTTTTGTTATACAGTACAAGCATTCCAACCAATGCACTTTTGGCTGAAAATTCTCAAATTTCTAGGGAGGAAGCTCTAAAAGATACTATCTACACTACACTGCTGAATTAATATATTTCCATATTCTTGGTTCAGTTTGCCTATCACAAGGCATTTACAGCAAGTTTCTTTTGGTCTGCAAGGATATAGTCTCTTAATTGAGATCATGCTTGTATGTGATTTAGTAAGATGGATCTTTTTCCGTTTTTGAGAGATGCTAAACCTTACCACTAGCTGTGCTGGGTTATTATAATGTTTGTTGGTTGGTGGCCTTGTTCAGGTGAAACATGACAACGATGATGCTAGAGATGGACCGGATTTTAAGACCTGGAGGACGTGTATACATACGGGACACAATCAATGTAATGAGCTAGATTCAAGAGATTGGAAACGCAATGAGGTGGCACATGAGCTTATGTGAAACTGCTGAAGGACCTCACTCAAGTTACAGGGTTCTCTTATGTGAGAAGCGGTTTGAATCGTCTGAGAAACGTCGTACCAAGAAGAAGAGGAAGACTAGAGGGAAAAAAGCTTGACATTTACATAGAATGCAAATGATGGGCTACAAGTTTCTGGGGATCTTTGATCAATGGTTAGTTTAGTTGGGAGGCTTTTGGAATTTTAGAAAAGTTAGTGACTCTGAAACTGTTTGTGAGGTTTTGGCGTTTAACCCTCTTTAACGTTATTGAAACTCACTTAACCCAAATATTTCACATGTTGTTGACATAATTTAGGAAGAGTCACAAGGCAACACTATTTGATGCATGATGGTATGTTTGTCAATGAAAATACTCTGTTCCATATACCTAAATCAATGACAAATGTTGTAGATCTACATAAACTGGTGCATAACTGTGCCTTGATTTATTTAACGGCTACATTAGGAAAACAAATGTGAAGATAATTCACATTATTACTACAGGTTTAAAGAAGTCATAAAAGGTAAACAAGACCAACGGGCAAAAACCTCATGAGGATTCTTGCTTTACTAGTAACGTTGATATGAGAGATTTTGGCTACATGGTGTAGCTAAAACCGTTGACAGTGAATCCTCCATCGACGGATATGACCTGTCCGGTAATGTAAGATGCTGCGGGAAGGCAGAGAAAGGCAACCAGTGATGCGACTTCCTCTGGTTCTCCAACGCGCCCAAGTGGAGTCCGTGAAACTACCGCCTCAACAAAATCTTTCTTCTCAAGTAGCTGCATAAGAACATCATAACAATATCAAATCGTTAATTATCTGATATTCACATAAATCATCTAAGTGAACATCAGAAGCTACATAATATTCATGGTTTTTATCTGCCAACCCATAACCTTATTCTCCAACAGCTTTATCAATCTAAGTGAAACAATGTTCCATATGCGTTATTTTAGGGCATAATATAGTATACCGTTTCCACAAGTGAGGTCTTGATGTACCACGGCGCCACGCAATTGGTTCTGATGTTGTCCCTTGCCCACTCGCAAGCTAGATTTCTTGTAAGCTGATTAAGTGCTCCTAAAAAAACAACCCTAATGTTACCTACTTTTACCATCCTTTATTTTCGGTTTTTCTGAAAAAATGAAGAACATAGACTCACCTTTAGTTGCACCATAGATAGATCCACTTTGAAGATGCACCAGGCCAGCTACAGAGGAGATGAACACAATGCTTCCGACACCAGATGCTTTTAAAAGAGGATGAGCAATTTGGGATAAATGGAAAGCAGATTCTAAGTTGGTCGTCATGATTTTTGCATATTCCTCGCTTGAGTATTCAACTGTTGGTTTCCTGACATTAGTTCCAACATTGTTTATCTGAAAACAAAACAAAGTTGAGAAATTTTCAGAAGGGCAAAAAATGATTCAAACCCCTAACTTGTTCCTGTAATGTTGACCATTTTATATAAGATCTTGCATAACAATCATCACTATATGGTTCAACAATAAATCGTAAGCCTTAGATTACATGTATTGAATTGACAGATAGCTGATCATTCAACTCAAGGCAAAACCATCACAAGCCTAAACCATTCCAATGTGTAGAAACCTCATCAAAAAGCATAGAAAATAACAAAGTCTTTAGTAGGAGAAGGGCACTTACAAGGATGTTGAGCTTGCCGCTGAAGGCAGAAGAAGCTTCCTGAATCAACTTCTCCCTCTGATCCCTAACCGAAGCATCACAAACCGAACCAGACACTACTAAACCATTGGATTTCCAATCATTCAAGCATACATTCAGCTCTTCCTGGTTCCTTGAACAAGTATGAACTTTTGCTCCAAATTTTGCTAGTTCCTCCACTACTGCTCTCCTGAAGAGTATACGCCGGGAAAAAAATAACAGAGATTATGCATTCAATACTATACTCATTCAAGTGATGCCATAAATTCGATTCAAATCTTGTTAGAAAATGTCAATACAGAGGCTCAAAATCACTATACGAAAGTTTCGAAACAATCACAGGATAAACCAATCATGCCAGTCGTGAGATAATTGGAAGCGAATTGAGAAAAAGAGAGGAGAGACAAACCCGATTCCACGAGTCCCGCCGGTAACCAGAGCTGTTTTTCCGGCGAGAGACCATCTTTTGTCAGCTTCCATTGTCACGCTCACGCACTCTCCTCCTTGGAATCTCTCACTCTCTCTATTTGTGGATCTGAGTGAACGAACTGGTTGGGCTCAACTCCGGTTGAGATATTCCTATTGGGCCTCAACTCCGAGATATTACTATTGGGCCTCAACTCACGATGGGTCCGTTTATGTGCTCACAGCCCATTACGTTCATTATATCCACTACCTTGAAATACACACATAGGATGCAAAATAAGTAAAATTAGGCTTTGGGTTGGTCAAAATGGATTACACAATGACCATTTTTTATTTAAAAAAAATTACACTTTTTTTCTTTTGTTTCCATTATGACATTGAGGTCGTGTAATTTTTTTTAATAAAAAATGGTGAATCTCCGATTTGACTTTGGATGCATCTTAATGCACACGGTTTTTGTGAAGGTGTACATGCGAAGCAGAAGAAATAGCCAAAAAAGGAAAGTACATTGAAACAAGAGGAAGAAGAAAAGGTTACTAAATTAGTAAATTCTAATGGACAAATCATTTATAAAAAAAAAAGAGCTAGCCAGAAAAATGAATTTTGATGAATAATGAGAGAGGAAGCATCAAGCATGAGCATGTGCATTCTGAGCTCTCCTTTAAAGGCTCTCTCTTCTCTCTGTATTATCTTGTTTTACACTAAAGAAGTCACCTATTTGCCACTCTATCTCCGAACCTTTCACTTTCCTATTGTATGCATTTTGAAATAAATAAGACATCTTGACATTATAGATGTGTAATGATGGTGCAACTTCAAGTTGAGTTTCTTGAATGGGAAAGCAAGACAACAGAGAATTTGGACTTTTCACTTTACCTGTTTGTGTATATAGGTGTTATAGGTGTTATATCAACACACACCAAAATAACTTTGGGGTACATTGATATTAGCTTTTATGGTAACTATTGAATTATATATTCTTAACTATATATAGGCTATTAGAATAACATGTTAGTAATTATTGAGAGTAAATTCAAAAAAAAATCAGAAAATCATCATACATTTTTATAACAAATATTATTTATCCTCAAACTTTCAAAAAAATGAGTGAGAGGAAACCAAATAAAAAAAAATATAAAGTAAATTAAGAATGAAATTGAGAATGAGAAGAGCACATTGAATATTCAGAAGCAGAATTTCCTAAAGAGGAAATGATGTTACAGCTGGTGGTTACAAAGTTACATGACATAAATTCTTTTTATTCTCCTTTTTACATTCGCTTTACATTTTTTGTTGAGTTAAGTTCTCCTCTTTTTGCAGTTGCAGAGCAGAGTCTGAGAGATTTTTTTAAATCTCTGTTTTAATTTTTTGGGGTAGACTTTTAGTTCAGTTTGGTTTCGAGGCTTCGTAATATTAAGTCAAAAACCATATCTCATGAGGTTTCCTCTTTTAGACAACGTTGAAATTCGATGCCTCTCCCTTTTAAAACCATATTTTCCTTTTTAACCATCGGTTTCATTCTTTCTTTCTCATTTTTTCCTTAAATTTATTCCATTTCTCTCTTATATACAAACGTTAGCGTATGTTTATATTAGGATGTGTAAATTGTGAAAACTGAAAAGACCACTCTCACTTCCTTCACTTAGATTTTACCCCTTCTCCTCTTAGTCGGTACTAGTTCCACAGTCACAACAGAATATATGTATATATAATACTGATATACATGTGTAATATGTTCATATATATCTGCAAAGTTGATGTGAACAAATAATAATCATCTGTTCCCGCATATGCTCATTACATTTCTATTTAATTCGATCATTAATACTTTGATAGTCCATTTTCCTGTTTACCAAGAGAAATAATGAGAAAAATATTTATTACTGTTCAGTATTGTTTCCAGATACAGTTTTGTTGATTTATCAAATTATAAAACCAACTATAGTTAGCAAAAGTAAATTTCGAAGTTCCTACTATTTCCAAACATATAAAACACAATGATTATACTGTTTTTCATGGGCCAACCACTGATACAGCAATACTGTATATGTAAAAATGTTAATTTAGATTGGAGCTTATAGTAAACATTGATTACGTTGCGGCTATTTACAAGTAAAACCCAAAATACCCAATTATAGGCTTTTGTTTTTTTTGTTCACCACCCAATTATAGGCTACATACACTATATCAGCTATTAAGATTACAATTAGGTTACATAATTTATACTAATTTGTTGTTATTTTTAAATTACATCGTAAGATTATTGCTAATTCGTCTCCAATTTCTCTTACGGCTATTTGGAGTTCACATGGAATACCAGGGTAATTTTCATCAACGATTTTTTATGATTTATTGTTTAAGTTTGTCATCGCCAAGAAACTCCAATCAACAGACCTTCTCAAAATTATTACGGCAACTCCAATCAACAATCTTTTGAATAGGCATAAATATTGAAAACCAAATCATGAGAAAGTTACATCATTCGTAAGAAAAAAATCAAAATATTTAGATTGTCTTATGAATTAGAGCAAAGACTATACGTGTTGACTTTTTCCATAAGATAAAAATATTACTATATCAAAGCCAACACTACAGAACCTACTCTCGTTTCACTCTTGAGATTAGAGACAGTTTAACTTCTTCTTTTTGGCAATCACATTAACTATTGTTACTTTTTTTATTACTTAAGCTAGTTAACCTTAGGCGGATCAGCTCCTAGCCTTAGCTCAAGATCCAACTCCTCATGATGACCGTTGATCTTGGAAACTCCAATGACCAACCCTAACATCATTGGAAATCTTGACACATCCGTCTTTGCCCTCTTCCATGATGAAGATGATCCGTTGATTAGTTGTTTCTTCCGAGGATCAAACTCAGAACTCACTAGACCGACCGATAAGTCAGTCTTGACTTCATCATTGTCATGCTCATATCGTTTCATAGAACTTTCTAAAACATTATTATTACAAACATCACTTATCTCCCTTTTAGTTCCATTAGGCTTTCTTGTTTCTTCTTGGACGAGAACCTTTGACCCCACATCAAGAACTTGTTGTTGACGATCATTTTCAGGAGGTGTGGCTTGGTCAGTTGATGAAGGTGATAATGATTGCTGCTTGAGTCGAGCTCGGTCTCTTCGATGAACGTTCATATGACCGCCTAGTGCTTGCGCCGACTTGAACTCTCTCCCGCAAAAGCTGCACGAGTAAGACCTCGGCGGCCACATGCAACCGCCTCCGCCGCCATACTCCTCAGCTGACGCAAACGCTCTCTCTTCCCTAAACGGCCAAAACAAAGTCCCATCCAAAGATGGCCTCGTCACCATCGGTCTAAGCTTCATCGACATCAAGCATTCTCCTCTCTCCATCATATGTAAGATTTGTATATTATAGTAGAAGAAGTTGAGAGAGTTTTTCAGTTTTTTTTAACCAATTGTTGGAGTACTGAAGTGTGTAGATTTAGACGCACGTAGACTTATATAAAGAGAGACGCATATAGATAGGTGTGTGTGTGTGTGAGAATATGACTATATGGTTAAAGCATTGAATGTGAGAAAGCAACGTGGAGAACCATGAGTAAATAGGGAGAGGCTTTGATGGGGAAAGTTCTCTTTTACTTTAGTTACTCGTATGTCTTCACTCTATATATCTCTCTATACATGCTAAATGTTTAGATATTAATAATTAGTTGGCGAGCTTTTGATTTGATAATAGCTAAATTAATGCCAGACGCAACTTAAGTTTTCCACGAGTCTACAAAATTAATAAGTTAGAGTCATGTTTAATTTTCTAACACCTAGCTAGCTAATTATAATATGACAAAAACTATGGTTTAATTTGAAATATTTATATTATTTTTATGGAGTCTAATTACATACACCATCTTCGGATGTATGTGGCTGTGAGGTGATGACTACAGTGGACCAACAAATTGATTTATGATTAATTATATTGATTTAGCTAATGAGACAATGGAACCGTGGGATACTGACAATAATTTATCGTGTGATTTATTTACAATTATTATACGGATGAGAAGTAGAGATCTTTGCCTGAAATCTAGATTATTATTATTAAGTGTTAACTGAAGAAGGACTCATATGTCAAGAGATTCTACCTACAATTTGTCTCCATATTACGGGTTTTCAGACAAGTACGAGCGAAAAAAAAAAAACGAGATTGGAGTACAAAGTATCCAAACTGAAGTGACTTAATTAGAACGCCAAAACATATTTTTAAAAATTATAAGAAAAATGTGATTAAACGCCAAAACATGAATTTTGTTTTCGTATTGTATATGATTTTGTGGAGTGTGTTGCATCAAAACATTTTTTGTTTTGGTGTCGTAACAAGACGCCAATACCTGTTCAATAAATAAAGAAATTATCACATTATTTAGCGGATAGAAGAAAAATCCACTTACATATGTATATTTAAGCCAAAATCCTTACTCATGGTTCTCCACTCACATTATATTTAAGTCTAAACCACCTGGGCTTATGGTGGTATTGTATATGATTTTGGGCTTATGGTGGTTTAGACTTAAATATGATGTGTCGTAGGCTTACGCCTGGTGAAGCAAGTAAGCAACCGATCTAGCTTATCTCCTGGTCCATCTTCTGGCCCATCCGATTCTAAAGATTTATCATACTAAAGATACATAGAAAATATTACATCAATTAGAAGTTAACGCAAATTATACACAAAACATTTTATACATATAGAGAGAACCCCTCGCATAAAAAACCTGGATACAAGACTACAAGACGAAAAAAAGAAAAAAAGAAAAAAAAAACTTGAATACATAATAATCCAAATTTAATTGGAGATTTAAGATCTACTAAATCTTTAGCAAATTGCATATGATAGATAACGGGAATGTAAATAAACAGATCGATATAGGAAATAAAACAAAAATCAGATTTTATCATATATAGCATTCTTTTATGGATCTATCATTTCTGTTCGGGTCTAATTTTGTGGTGCGTAGTAATAATAATCCATGTTCTGAAGCCATTGATGATTCACGAGCATTTCCTCTGAGTTCGTGAAGAACCCATCAAGGCAGTTTCTTCCGTCGTCATTGTTCAAAACACTCTCGTCGACGAAATTGGTGGTATCCACTGTCATCTGATTCACAAACTCCGGTATGTTGTTAAGTTGTGATCCATTTTGAGTAGAGTATGAGAAATTCGTCATCTGTGATCCAAGAAACTCAATTTCCTCTTGCAATGTCACGACCTATAAAAACAAACCCACGAAGCAACATGATCAGACTGTTTCGAAAACACAAACCATGATTTATATACATATGACGACATATCAAACAGAATGTACTCGTAGCTTGAAATGGTCTAAACTCTCAACAAGAATAAAAGAATCTTGTTCAAAAGTTTAAGAAACCTGTTGATGAAGAGCGAAGATGTGAGCAACGCAGCCATAAACAGGATCATGCATGCGAGAGAGAGCCTCGTAGGAGATGGTGATAGCAGCGACGCTTCTTTGATGTAGAGGCAAATGAAGCAAATGTTTAGAGACATTGCTTGCGCCAAAGACTTTGTGGACCGCTGCGAAATGGGAAGAGGCTTGTTCGTAGCTGAAGTAAGGCGAGAAGACACAGTCGCGGTTGCATTTCCTCCTTAGGAACTTGCATGCTCCACAAGATGATCCATGACCTGCCATTTTTTTTTTTCTTTTGCGTTTACTCTGTTTTGTTTTATGGTTTTTGACCTTTTGCTGGATTGAGACAAATCACGTTGGTTTTTATAAGCCCCACCACTAAAAGTTCTTGAAAGAACAGCAAAAGAGTTCAATTTTGAGATAAACATCAATCATTTTTATCTTTATAGTATTTTACTTACACTTGATTGATCAATCTCATGAATAGTAAGGTACAAATTCATAGACACTATAGTTAAATTACATTTTCGTAGATTTTTTTTAGTAGGAGTATATATGTTGTATGGAATACATATATGTACGTCAAATTTTCATAATATCCAGTACGTGTCTAGTGTCTACTCCTAATATAAAATTTGCTTTATCTTATTTTCTGGGGGTCTGCATCGTGGCCTACATTTTCATGCTTGTTTTGGGCAAGCCAATATATTATTGAATGGCTTAAAGTGCCTTTTAAATTTCCTTTAAAAATCATTATATATATGTTTAGGCCAAACTAGTCTTTTTTTCCTTATTTCTCAACTGTTAAATAGTCTTTAGGCTTTAAGGAAATGATAAATAATTGGTTGGGATGCAAATGCAGCCATTTTGCATGGGTGACACAGACAAAAGGTACAGTATCTAAGAAAAGGTCAATCTCCCATCAACTTGTTGTACATTGAACTTATTATTGAAGCCAATCCTGATTTCTCTTACCTTAATAATTAAACCGAGATATACTATCAGTCTATCATCAAAAAAAAAAAAAAAACTAGAAATTAATCATTATACATCTCGTAATATAATGGTCAAGGAGTTTATATATATGCTCATTAGCATTGCGATCATTTATACATCTCGTAACAATAATAGATCAGCTTTACCACTAAAAAGCTAGAATAATTAAATTGTTCTATGTATATATATAGTAGTTTTCTTATTGGAATCAAACTCTGTTTGAAGTCGAAATTAATCAAGACCGCATCTAGATGGCAGCACACTTAAATTTAAATACATATTTGAATCACTATATTTTCAACAAATTACTGTTATGATTAGATATAGAGGTTATGAATCATCCTCCCCTATATCTACGTTGTCTTGATAGATCAATAATTATTGATCACCTAAGTTCAGTGTCCATTTGATTTTCTGTTTCATGCATAATCAATCTACAATTGTGATTATTATATTTATATATGGCCCTTTCTTTGTTTGCCACTTATTGCTTTGGGTGCGCAATATAAGAAAATTAAACACTAAAAAGACGGCGACTATGACCCAACTGCCAATAATATTGAACTTACTGTTGTAAGTGCTCTCTTGCAAACCTCAATCAGTTTTTTTTTCTTTCTTTGTAACCTTAACGCATTCTAAGGAACCATGCACGTTTTATTATTGCTTTCCAAAAATAAAACAAAGTATTTCGTTGATTAAAATCAGTTCCGGAAACCTTCTTCTAAACATTTTCTCGCATAAATGATGTTATTTTTTATAAAACATTTTCATACTAATGAAACTCGAAATTCCAAGTGAAAAAAATGCAGATTATGACCCAAATAACATTGCAAAACATATTTGAATTAATACATCCTTGCGAATATGTGGTGAAGCACGGAAGAAAAAAAAGAGACAAAAGGGAAGAGTTGATGCATTGGGATTGAGATTAATTAATGAGTCGTCACCGATGTTACTTTCGACTTTCGAGCTAGCTACTCTTGTATCAACTTGTATCAAACAAACACTTTAAGGATTGAACAAGATTGTATATAAAAGACTCTTTCTTTTATTACTTGGAAACTAACTCAAAACCAAGATACAATCTCAACCCTAAAACTCACACACATAAGGAATACCACATACATTGGCATCTCTTATATAGACAACACAGTAACCCTAATCCTAACCGACTTTAAGGACTAATATTAGATAACTCCTAATATTATTGGTTAACTTCAAATCTTCATATCTTTAAAACCGACTTTCTTTAATGACTTATTACTCAAGTCATCTCTTCAAGCTTATCAACAATCTCCCTCTTAAGCTTGAACTCGAACTTTGCTACATCATAAACACCAACAAGTTCCCGCATTTCTTTAAACTTGATTCTGCCAAGAGCTTTAGTGAGTATATCAGCCTTCTGTTCTTCTCCAGGAATGTGCTCTACCTCAACCAATTCATTTTGAACACATTCTCGAATAAAGTGATACTTCTTGTGTATATGTTTACTCCGACCATGAAAGACAGGATTCTTTGTGAGAGCTATTGCTGACTTATTATCAATGAGAATCAGAACCCTTTTACATGGTCTCTCAGTAACCTCCTGAAGAAGCTCTTGAAGCCAAACAGCCTGTTTAGCAGCTTCTGTAGCAGCCATGAATTCAGCCTCACATGATGAGAGAGCTACTGTTTCTTGCTTTTGAGAGCACCATGTGATTGGACAGTTATTGAGATAAAAGATATGACCTGTTGTACTTCTTCCGTCATCTTCATCAACATTGTGACTACTGTCACTAAATCCTATCAACTCTGTCTTGTTCCTGCGGCCAAAACAGAGACCATATGATCGAGTACCTTGTAAATATCTGAGTATCTGCTTCAACGCTGCTCCATGAGATTCTTTTGGCTCATGCATATATCTGCTCAAGACTCCAACACAATATGAGAGATCCGGCCTAGTATGAAGCAGATACCTGAGACATCCAATATTCCTTCTATACACCTTTTCATCTATGTTCTTCTCTGTCTGAGCTTTACTTAATTTCAAATTTGCACACATTGGGATATGTACTGCATTGCAATCTCCAAAGCCAGTTTCCTCAAGAATTTTGTTTGCATATCTTTCTTGACATAGCTTAATACCATCCTTGCTTTGAATTACTTCAATTCCTAAATAGTAAGTAAGCTTACCAAGATCACTCATCTCAAATTTCTCTGCCATACCTTTCTTGAAATTAATGATCATGTTCAAGCTAGAACCAGTAACCAGTAGATCATCAACATATACTGCTACAACAAGAAGATTTTCATTATCCCTTTTTTGATATAGTGAAGGTTCTTTGGAACATTTCACAAACTGTAGTTCCATAAGTATTTGATTCAGCTTGTTGTTCCATGCCCTTGGGGCTTGTTTTAGCCCATAAAGAGCTTTATGCAGTTTATATACTTTTTCCTCTGCTCCCTCTGTAACATAACCTTCAGGCTGACACACATATACTTCTTCTTTCAATTCTCCATGTAAAAAGGTCGTTTTCACGTCAAGGTGATGTACTTCCCATCCATTAGATGCAGCGAGAGCAATAATGAGACGTACTGTTTCTATACGAGCTACTGGAGCAAAAACCTCATCAAAATCTATGCCATGTCTCTGTACATAACCTTTAGCTACTAATCTGGCTTTGTACTTGTTAATGCTTCCATCAGAGTTCCTCTTGATTTTGAACACCCATTTGAGTCCAATTGGCTTTATTCCAGCAGGGAGATCTACTAGATCCCAAGTTTTATTTTTTGTTATTGAGGAAATTTCTTCATCACACGCTTCCCTCCATTCCTTTTCTTCTTTTGCTTCACTGTAATCCCATGGTTCCTCATTTATAGCAAGAAGGAGTCGTTCACATTCAAGTTCTGCTAACAGAACATAATCATTCAGATACTTTGGTTTAGTAGTTTCTCTTCCTGATCTTCTTAGTTTAGGCTGTGGTTGTTCTTGTCCTTCTTCAGAACTTATGTCATGAGTATCAGTAATATTTTCAACATTTTCTTCATCAGGTTCCTCATCTTTGTCACTTTCATTATCTCTCTCAGTGTTTTCTGTCTCAGTGAAAACATTTTCTTCTCTTATACCATTATTTCCAAATTCTCCAAATACCACACTGAACATCCCTGGACTGTTATTAGTTTCATTCTCTGAGCTATTCCATTTCCAGCCTTTACTTTCATCAAACACTACATCTCTGTTTACCACAATTCTCCTTTTTGTAGGATCTAATAGTCTATAAGCCTTTGATCCTGGTTCAGTTCCTAGGTTAACTAACATTCTTGAGCGATCATCTAGCTTCCTTAAATGAGTAGCTTCTGTTTTAGCATATCCAATACAACCAAAAACCCTTAAATGTTCTATGTTTGGCCTCTTTCCCCAGAAGGCTTCATATGGTGTCTGATTCAACAAAGTTCGTGTTGACACTCTATTTATGAGATATGTGGCATGCCTTACTGCTTCTCCCCATAGGTAGTTTGGTACACTCATGTGTTTTAAGAGACTTCTTGTCATTCCCATTAATGTTTTGTTTCTTCTTTCAACTACCCCATTTTGTTGTGGAGAATAAGGTGCTGTTAAGTGTCTCTTGATCCCTGTGGTATCACAAAATCTTTGAAATTCTTGAGACACAAACTCTCCCCCTCTGTCTGTTCTGAGTGTCTTAATCGTAGTACCTGTTTCCTTTTCAATGCTGGTTTTGAAGATTTTGAACTTCTGAAACGCTTCATACCCTTCTTTTCTTTTAGAAGAATTGACCACATATACCTTGAATAGTCATCTATTAGAACAAAGACATACTTGTTGTGTGCTGCAGTTGACGGTGTAATAGGGCCACATAGATCCCCATGTATGAGCTCAAGTTTACCAGAAGCTCTAAATGTTGTTGCTTGAGGAAAGGATTTCCTGGCTTGTTTTCCAAGTAGACAGGAGCCACATACTTCTTTCTCAATTTCAAATTGTGGGAGACCCATGACTAATTCTTTCTGCATCATGTTCTTCAATGCATCTGTTCCGATATGTCCTAGTCTTGCGTGCCATATTCTTGATTTATCTGATATCACAAGTTGCAGACATTTTGGACTTTCAACTTCAAGACTTACTTTGTAAAGTCTGTTTCTTGATCTTGTTGCTTTTACTAGCAACTTACCTTCTCTGTCATACAAAGTTAGGTAATTTTGTTTCATTCTAACATCACATCCAGCTTCAGTAGCCTGTCCTAGACTCACAATGTTACTCTTTAACTCAGGTATGTAATAGACATCAGGCAAAGATCTTCTTTCTCCAGTTTTGGTTATAAATGTGATCAGACCTTTTCCTTTTATGTCA